CTAGAACAATGGGAGCAAATTAGTGGCAACAATGTCTTCACAAAGAAGGGTACAGGAAAAGAACACTCAGAGTCCTCAGAGAGAGTCATAGCTTTTTGAAATAAAAATACCGCAATAAATAAAATGCTGTTAAAAATATTTTTGTTCAAAACTATAACTAAATGGTGAAAAATGTGTAAAAAATATACATGATTAAGTTTAGTTAAAAGGTTTGTGAACATTTCATACTATGAAAATATTTTGAAAAATTTTGTATTTTGGCCCTTTTCTCTGTGCTCTTCAAAGACCTTTGTATACAGATAATGTCTGATAGAGACTCAAATAAACTTAAAGGGAAATATTGAAATGATTTTTTACTATATTATTTAATACTACAAAGGAGATCAGTCCTAAGTAATAAATGGTGATTTTAAAAGCTTCAGTAACATTGCCCCAATAATGTAAATACAAACTTAATATTTCTTCAACATGAAACATGGAAACCTGCATATAGACTGAGTCCACTCTTCAAGAAAGAGAACTCTCACATTTATTAAATATTTAAAAACATTTTAACCATTACTATTCAACTTTTGAAAGAAGAGATGAAAATTATTCAAAATCTCACATTATAATCCTACTTCAGAGCCTGTTTTTGAGGGAAAAAAGTTGAAATTTTCACACTCCCATGTCCAGTTCAGGACATAACTTTTGAAGGGTTAAATAATATCATCACTACTTGAACACATACATAGGAAGTTTTCATATGTAGTTGAGTATTTTAGGGTGGAAATTTGGCACTCCAGAGAAAAATCTTCAATAATCTCAATTTAATTTCTCTAACAAAAATTTAGAACTCAATATTAGCCCAAGTTTATTGTGCTGTTGTTCCCATAAATATATGAATAATATATAAATATTTGTAATTCTCATAATCTATAAAGACAGAGTTCTGTTTAAAGACTCAACTTTTAATCACAGTAATGACAGCCACCAATTATATTTGCAGCCACTAATACGGTTGCTTAAAAAGCAAACTCCCACTGCTGCACTTCTGCATGGTTCCATTGTGGCATTACAGGTCATTCATTGTCTTATTTCATTAGCCTAATGAAAGTTGAGTTTATATGAACATACAACTCAAACCTATGTACTAAGAGTCCTTATGTGTTCTTTGTGTTGTGTATGAATACCTCCAGAACAGAGCATATTTTAAAGGTTCATAGAGAAGTGTAACCAAGCCTAATTCTATACAGCTAATCAGCAGTTACAAACTAGTGGGAAACATCAGAGTAAGAACTAAGGATTCACTATTCCGGTTTATAATTCCATTGTGACAAATTTTGGGTTTGCACACACACATGTGACCATATTAAGCAACCACCACTGCAAGACATTCTGCATGTGGAGTAAATTGGAATAAAACTCAACTCCATGCACATGTGTCATTTGAGTTATTATTTTTGTGAACAAAATAAATTGTTGACACATGATTTTTTTTCACAAGGTTTCTTAAAATTTATAATAATCCACAAAAACGTTACTATAAAAATAAATTATCTTAGCAACCAGTGACCTATTGGAACTGTAAACTGCCTTTTATTTATTTTGGATTTAGCATCACTTAGTCATTTATTATATTTTATAAACTATTTTATAAGGCCAAAACAAATGCATTTTAAAGCTATAATTTACTAGGGGCATTAGGCAGGTATTGAAAAGGGCTGAGTTCACTTATGCTATCTTTGAAATATAACACTGCTGAAAATTTTGAAATAATTTTTATTAATCAGAAAGAAAGATTCACTTCTTGAAGATTTGTGCAATTCTTTGCAAGTTCTTCAATACCCAACCACTTTACACAATTCATTTTTTCCTGATTTTCTTATCAGAACATGCATAATGTTTAAAGACAATGGGTTGCATTAAAAAAAATGATTTACTGATCATACTTTAAGAATTGTGGCAGTAATAACTATAGTAAAAATAATAATAATGATAAATGAAATCTACTTTAGGTACAAAAGTATGAAGTTAATTTGAAAAGTTGTACCAAGCCTTGTCATAGAGATTGTTTTGCTCGTGTGGTTTTGACCAATGTCATTCAAGAATTTGTATTGTATGAGCCAATCACTGCTGTAATCCTCCTTGAAAATTAACACTTTTGTCTTAACACCACATGGTTGCTGAACAGCAGGAGCACTTGCAACATACTCGTACATCACAATTGGGTCCATAAGGAGGAAGAGGAGAAGAAGAAAGAGAAAATGAAAGAAAATAAGAAGAATCAAAAGAAAATCAGAATGAGAAGAATGTAAGCAGGAAGAGAAGAAAATAGACAGAAGGAGAAGAAAAGGAGGAAGAGTTGGAGGAGAAGAGGAAGACTTCACTTTTCTCATGAAATAGTCATCATAAATACCACTGGAGATTCTGAGTTTCTAGATAAATAAACTTGCTGCTACATGGCTTGTACATTTATCAGTAAAATCAGAACCTCTTGTATAATTACCTATGAAAAGTCAATATGTGAAAATATTTTAAGAGAAATAAGGATTAATAAAATAATAAGTTGTGTACTCAGCAAAATAAAATATGTTATTTAGAGAATTTGTATATTACCTGCTCTTGTTCTGAAATTTTTCTCAACTATTAATGTGATCTTACAAGACAAATTTATTTTATTGTTCTAGATGTATTAATTGAACTAAAAAAGTTGGTAGTCCACAACGCAACTACTGATGAATGAATAAATACAGATTTACAGTTGATAAATGAAACAAATAATATGTAATGTGAGATCTACCAAACTTACAAAATAATTTATGGCAAAAATTGGCTGGTAGTCAAGAAAATTTATGACAGAAATGCATCCCAATATCACGCAAGTGATATAGGCACAAAATTAACGTCACTAATTATAACATTGAGCCATATCACCTGTTGCTCACTGAAGGGAAAAGGAGGAAGGAATAGAAGCTAGAAGAAAGAATGCAAAAGCTGTCACTAACAGAGATTTTTTCTTCGTATAGCAATTTATGTACTTTAAGTCAGTGAACATTATTATCATATTGCTTCAATAACTTTTATTTTTGAGATTAGTCAGAGGTATAATTGGATGAGAACACATACAAATAATATGAGGAAAATTCACTTTCAACTCTGAAGGAATGTATACAAGAAATGTAAATTTTTATGATTTAACCATGTTTATTTACTGTGCTTACTTAGTTACTATTGTTTTTGGTTCTCCTTCCTATTTGTTGTTCATAACCCTCACAACTCAAACCTGTATTTAAAGGATCACTTCTTTAACTAGTTTTAAACTTGGCACACTTTCCATATTTCATTAAGGAGAACAGGAAGAAAATAAATTTGTCCCTACTCCAAATAACATAGTATCTGAGAAATTCCACTCATTCTTATCTTATGTCTAAGCACATAGAACGTCTTTTTTAATCATACTATATTGATATTGTATCTACAACATTACATATTAAAACTTAGCAATTAATGTATACTCAAAATCTCAACATAATAAAATTTTCCAAGATAATAGTATTTAAAAGTTGTGTTTGGCATTTGGAGTCAGCTTGGATGGAGTGGGTTCAGGAAGAGCTAGCATGAAATATACACTCCAAATTTAGAAACAGATAACACAGATCACACAGCCTGAACTGTGAGAGATATAACCTGTTGGGAGTGCTGTAACCTCACACAAAGCACATTATAAACAAAATCTGAATGAAAAGGAAAGGAGATTTGAAGAAAAAGAGGATATGCATAAGGAAATATAAGGAGAATGCTCCTTTTTTGCTTTAAATTTTTGCATATTAATTAAAGTATGGAAATGAAGAGGAGAAGAAGTAGTACTGATACTACTATTGGACTGGACTAAGTTCAAGTGATGCTGGGAGAAATTTTTAAGATTTTCAATTTGATAATATTTCTTTGTATTTTATTATAGACTTTCCACTGTATTACAAAGCACAATATGTAGCTCTTAAACAGCAGGATGACAATAATACTAATAATAATTAATAAATTAACAACACAGTTTACAGCTAAGCCACTGGTGGATGAAACTTTAATAAAGAGATAATATATTGGACATAAATGGACAGCAATAAATAATATTGACATGCACTGTGTCTCTCTCTTGGATTCATGTAAATATTGTAAAACATATTTTTATTATATTTTCCTGTTTCCCCCAGAAATTATGTCAAAAAATTCACACGGATCTATAATAATTCTGATTAAGAAATTCATAATACAGAAATAAATAAAATATGCAAGGCAATAACATGCATAATAATTACTTAAAAAATCTGTAAGAATATACACTTATCTGTCAGAATTCATCTAATACAAGTATTTGATGATAAATTTGCTTCACTACCTTGCACTAATGACTAGAAATCAGTATAAATTACATAAGATAAAGGTAAGAACTTTTTTAATTCATATTTGCTAATATCCTTATGGTCCAAAAATTTCATAATATTTATTAAATAAAAATATTAGCAAAATATGCTTCTAGAATAAGACAGTATCATTTAAATCATAGATCATTTAAATCTTTATATGTTGTCCCAGTTCTCTTAATGTAAGAAAAAAACTAAAGAGAAAAATGATCACTTTCTCTTAAGTGTAACTTTAAATTATGTAATAAGGATAACACACCACTAATAATTAGAAGATCAACATAAAGAAACAATTCAATGTGAAAATTCATCTTCTTGAACTATAGTTGATAGAACACATTATTGAATTATATACAAAATTGCCTGCTTTGTAATCACAAGCTATTGCAACCTAACTCATATGTGTATTATTGCTCAGACAGATATACTGTAAATACAGCTTTTCAAGCATCACTAGTTATGTACTGTGACCAGAGTTTGGTTCCAACAGCCTGTATTGATTAGAAAAGAATTGCTATTCTAAGCAAACCCACTAATGACATTATCTGTATTAACTACAGATAGAACTAAAAGAATCATAGTCCAGTTAATTCTTACTTTTGACGATCAGCTTTGCAGAAGTTTCCACTTGGCCAGCAGAATTAGTAGCTCTGCAAGTGAACACTCCAGAATCTTCTTCGTATGTTGTTGAAATCAGTAAAACAACATTGTTTCCATCTTGAATCATCTGCAACAAAATACAGAGGGAAAGATGTAGTGAAAACTAGTTGGGCAATATTTTTCAAAACTCAGTCTGGCAACTTACGAAATCATTACTCTGCAGATAATCAGATGTGAAAAAATTAAATTATAGAAAGGTTTAGAGTGCACCACTGAATGACGTGAAAAACAACAAATAAACATAAGTTTGAAGGGGATGTTTTTATATTGGCTTATTTTGTTATGCTTTCTGCTAGTTTGGGGTTATTTATAATTCAATATTGATGAAGAAATTTCAAACCTAGTGGACTTTCAACAATTATCAAAAAGCATTTGATCCATTGATTTTACTTGAAAACTACCCTAATTTCTAATGTATTTTGCAAATCATGAGGCTAATTGGCAAACATTTAAATCATTAGCAGAATTTTTATGATTTTTTTGTACAGAATATGAAATATTTCACACACATTCTGAACATGGAAGTTATTCCAAAAATTAACAAATTAATTTTTCAAAATTCAAATTTTCAAAAAATTAGAATCATTTAATTTTTTAAAATTGAAAAGTTTGAATGAAATTATGCTGTCCTAAATAATTCAGAACATTGTGCTATACATACATAAAGTTTTAATGAAAACTTTGGAACTGTTTCTGTTAAATTTTTTAAAAATATTTTTGTCACAATTTAACTAAAAAATACACAAATAACTACATAAATACTAATATTTTGAAAAAAGTGTCTGATTTAAAGACATAATACCTAGGAACATATTGCACTAAGAAAGAAATTTCTAGCTTTGATATAAAGGTGTAGGGCAGTTTCGAAATATGAGAATGTAAAAGAATGTGAAATTGAATTTTTGCAAATTTAGAAATTTCAGAAGTTTTAAAGAAAATACGATACATTTAAAAGTGCACTCTGATTCGAGAAAAAAATTGAGAGAGAGAATTCGGAGTCATTGTTAGAAAAAATGAAAATGAAGCTCCGTGTCCAATTCCCCCCCCCCCAAAAAAAATAAAAGATACGTTTAATATTTGCAGGGTATTGAGATCGGCGAGATCGATTGAGGAATATCGGTTTTGGTGATAATTGTCGGTGCAGTTGGACTAGTTTTCCTTATGGACGAACGCACGGACCGACGGGCAGACAGACAGGCAGGCAGGCAGACAGAAAGCCGTAGTGAAAAAACACTTTTTCGGTGTCAGAAACCCAAAACTATGTAGTTCCTTCAATATCTTTTCATGATTTTTTTACAGCATTTCGTAACTTTCTCTTTACTACGTACGGTAGAATGGGATAATATGAACATACTAAGATCAAGTGTTAAAAAGTTAGTAAAAGTTTTTTATTTGCTATCACGAAAAATCGAAATTTAACTTTAGAATAATCATTGAGAATTCCCTCATTGTTCCGGGCATTGGGCCAATCACAGGATAATAAGAGTCGTTTATCAGTCAGTATTTATTCTGTATTATATCCAATGAAGTTAAAGAAAACTCGTCTGAGATGAATTTCTAAAACGTCGAAAAATTACATCAAACCAAAGTGAATTTGCCTCCCCCCAGTTTTAATTTAAAAAACAACAAATTAGGGTTTCACGATCTGCAGTACACAATAAAGATGGGCTGAATTCCTGTCGTTTGCGTTGAACTTTCCCGCTTTTCCGACATGAAAACACAAAACATTCATTTATTTCTAAGCTACACTCATTGGTATCACCTCGGGTTCAAACTGTGTCCGACAATTAATACGAAGTAATAACACTGTGATTAAAGGGTCTGCTTATTTACGTTTGACGTTTCAATGCAAATTGTGGACGTTTCTGGCAATAGATTTGCCTTCATTTGCAGGCTTTTCTTTTGCCTTCCTTTGTATTTTCTTTCTTAATTCTTTCTTTCCCTTCTTTTTATTTTCTTTGTCTGCAATTTTTACTCTATCTACCCACTACATAGCTAAGAGAAAGTACTGTAAAGCCGAAAATTGGCTTAACGGCAAAACCTCTATCTGACCTCCGTAGTCAACACCACCGCATAAACAGTTCTGTCGATTTTCTCCAAAATTGACATTCCCCTATCAATCTGGTCGAACTCGAGGCCCTGAGAATTTGAAAAGTAGTTTCATTTTTTAAGATACTTTTCTGAAGTATCTAAACTTTCTAAATTTCCTCTAATATGGCTCCAAATTTTTTGATTAAACATTGTTCATATCGTAAAGGCCGGTTAATATAGATCTCACTTTCGTTAAAATTCTTGATTTTTCGAAAATTTGAAAAGTAAAAAAAAATTTCGGCGTCTTCCTACAGCTATGATATTGAAAAACTTTATTTCTTAATGAAATCTCTTCTTATTCCCAGATATTGAAACAATTTTAAATAAATAGAACTTAACATTATCTTTGAACTTTTGAAAATTACAAATGCAAATGTTGAACTTCGTTTTTAAAGCGTCACACGATGGCCAATAGTTGGCAAAAACTCGATTTTTCAGAAATCGGATGATTCCAGAAATTTTAATTTTTCGAAATTGTTGAATGTTTAGGATATCGTACAAAGCATTTGTAATTGTTGTAGATATAACTCTTCAACAATATTAACGCACGAAAAATTATGATTGTTTGCTTGACATGAGTGTTGACGTGCTTTGGACTTTTGATATTATCAATCTATTATGTCGTAGAAATAAAGTAATAATTTGCCTACGTTTGTTTCAAAGAATAAGGCTTCTGCTTTGCCGGATAATAATAATCAGCTGCACATTTTTGGCCCATGCTATAATTTGAAAGCTTTAACTACTATTCCAAACGTAGAGTTTTCCAATTCTACTAATCCAAAAAGTAGAGTTTTTCAATTCTACTGTTCCAAAACGTAGAATTTTTGAACACATTGTCTTTCTAATCTTCAAATCCTCGTACCTAGAACCATCGGGAGGAAACATTTAGGTTCGAAAACTAATGTGTGACATAATGCGTTCGTACCGCGCTACTTTACTTGTGCTGTGGTGATTCAAATATAACTCTTGTGTATGATCTAGTGTGTATTTTATTTGAAACGCCAGTTTCACGTTGAAAACATTAAGGAAAGGGAGTGTTAAGTTGTAGGCGCCCTACTGAATCTCTCTAAATACCTTGTAGGACAGTTAAACATTCAGGGAAGAACTACAACCATACAATCAGTTCAAGGTATTCCTGGAGTTGTGTTCCTCACAAAGTCTACAGGTTTGTTTGTTTTTTTTTGTTGAAATTGCCTGATTTGTAGCAATAAAAGCAACGTTTGGCGCAGAAAAATATTTCCATCTGTTGAATATAGGTTGAAGAGCCAAAAACTGGCATACCTGCCTAATATCGTGTAGGGCCCCCGCAAGCACGCAGAAGTGCCTCACACGATGTGGGACAGGACTCGACTTAATGTCTGAGGTAGTGCTGGAGGTAAACGACACCAAGCATCCTGCAGGGGCTGTCCATAAAAACGTAAGAGTACGAGGGGGTGGAGATCTCGTCTGCTCACTAATGTCCATGTTTGGGAATTTTGGTGGACCAGTAGAAGTGCTTAAATTCAGGAGAGTGTTCTTGGAGTCACTTTGTAACAATTCTGGACGTGTGGGCTGTCGCATTGTCCTGCTGGAATTTCCCAAGTAGGAATGCACAATGGACACGAATGGGTGCAAGTGATCAGGATCAGGTGTCACCCGTCAGAGTCGTCACATATCACTCCAACTGCACGCGCCCCATTCCATCACAGAGCCTCCACCAGCTTGAACAGTCCCCTGTTGCAATGCAGGTCCATGGACACACGAGGTTGTCGCTATACTCGTACACGTCCATCCGCTTGAAACAATGTGAAACGAGACTCGTCAGATCAGTCATCAACAGTCCAATGTCTGTGTTGACGGGTCCAGGCGAGGCCTAAAGCTTGGTGTCATGCAATCATGAAGGATTTGCGAGTGGGCCTTCGGCTTCGAAACTCCATATTGATAATGTGTCGTTGAATGGTTCGCACGCTGACATATGTTGATGGCCCAGCATTGAAATCTGCAGCAATTTGCGGAGCAAGATGCACCTCTGTCACATGTAATGATTCTCCTCAATCCTCGTCGATTCCATTCTTTCACTACCTTTTTCCGGACGCAGCGATACCGTGTGATGTTTTACTGGATTCACGAAATTCACAGTAAATCGTGAAATGGTCGTAGAAAAAATCCAAATTTCACGAGAGATGGAGCATAGCATCACGACCTCCGAGATGCTATGCTCCATCTCTCTTGCGCTTACTATAACACCACGTTCAAATTCACTTAAATCGTGATAATCTGCCATTGTAGCAGCAGTAACCAATCTAACAACTTTGCCAGACTCTGGTTGTCTTATATAGTAGTTGCCGACCGGAGTGCCGTATTCTGATCGATTCCAGATCTCTTTATTTCAATACGCATGTCTGTATCAGTTCTTTTGGCTCTTCATTGTAACTCCGTCGTTGCATAAACACTCAAATTCGACATAGTATATAAAAGTTATTAAACGAGTGCAGTTCAGTCTTTATTAGCTCTTCATCTAACTTCACAGCCACGAGTCGCCATTGGGGCCTCCCCTCCACCAGAGACGTATGGAATGAGCAAATTGCGTGGATAAACCGGTAAGGTCTGTTGGATCACAATGCTGATCCGTTGCTACTGCATTTGGACGAAGTTATTGAAACATATAGACAATGAATACAAAACGTTGGAATTAATGGTTAAATGCGGGTGTGATGGATTGCAACAGCCCAAATTATGATTCTGACAACAGTACTTTTCATAGTTTTCTAATACCTTTGCAATTAGTTGGTGGCTGTGGTTACAAGAAAATTGCATGGCAGAATCCGTCACCGTCTTCTCCGCACTATGTAATTTGTTTTTAGTGCAATTGGCTAGCAATGATGTACCAATGAGCTTTGATAATTGTGTAAGCAGATGTTTTGAATATTTTATAACTTCTCCATGTGGATTTATGTTTGATACAATGCACCAAAAAGGCACACATGTATAAATTAAGATCGTAATATTGCCTTCAAAATTCGGTTGCCTTTTTGGTAACTTTACGTCGACATTCTAAAGAAAATATATTTTTTCCCAACTATTACACATGTTTTTTTATGAGGATGTCTTGCGATCCTTTCAAATTGATTTTGAAACAAGCATATATCATTAAAAAATTTAAATTTTCAAACAAAAAATCATTCACTTTACAAGAAATTACTTAAACAGTTTAATTAATACTAAAAAATTTATCAGATCATTTAGAGTACACAAAAGTACAAAAATGAATTTGGCAAAATGTTCGAGCCAAATATCCAATGTACACCATAAAGTTCGCGAGTATCTGTAAGCCTGGGGGTATGGGGATAACGTAAATGGCGTAGTAAATCTAAGAATCTGAGTTCGAATCCCATCGTGGAAAATATTTCTGCGAAAACACTTTTGCAGGTTCATGTAGTATTATAATATTGCGTAGTGGTTATAAAAATGCGAGAAAGAATGTTCTGTTGTGACACCACTGGTTTTGCTATTGGTGAAGCAGGTATAATTTGGGAATGCAGTAGTGGGCTCCAGCGGCGACCAGTTTCAAAAATGGCTTAAAATTTGGGGAAACAATTTCAACGACTTCCGAATATAATAAAAGGGGATTCTCTTTTAGATAGTTCAATCTGGGTATCAGCTTCGTCCGTAGTTATAGATAATACATTCGTGTTGTATGTTTACCCAAATCTCTAATTGCACTATCGAAATAAATCAAAATCATTTTGTAGGAAATTTCTTGGACTTTAGAAAAATTTTAATTTTCTTTGGTCAATTTTCTCATCGGTTTCGGAATATTCGCGGAAAACTGAAAGTGTACATCGACATTTTGCTTCAGGGGATAGGATTTTTTTTTGTTGAATATGTTGACACAATGGAGTGTTTAACGTTAAGTGGAATAAGCGGCCGCGTGGAACCGGAATTCGGCAAATTTAACAAAAAATTAAACCTTTATTTGCCTACGAGGTTTCATGTAACGTACACCAAACGTAATTTTTCGTGAGGTAGGGGTAGCGATTGATAGCATCATATATATCAATGAAATGTCTCGCAGATTTCCGAAAACTGAAATATTATTGAACATTTTTCTAATGCCTTTGTATTTCTTCCCTTGTCTAATGAGTCCGAAGAAATATTATTTTCAATTTTTAATAGAATAAAAAGTACTTTAGGAATACAATGAGGAGAAATAATAAATAACTTGGCCATATTGTATATGAATCAGGAAATTTTACTCTTAACTGACACAGTCAAGGTAAGTGATGATTCTGAGAGAAAAAAAATACAGCAAGACAGAAATTCATGTAATTAAAAAAGAGAAATATATTTAATGTGTAACGGTGTGATCTTTTTAATTACGTTACATTTTGTTAATAAGTGTTTCATAACAACTTCGATTTCTGGCGTGAGTTTCTGAGCTCTCAATTTTTTACCGTGTAGGCCTCAACAGTATTAACAGTAACTTTTCTCTTGGGTTTGAAGGTCACGTGTGCAGAATTTCATTACGATCACGTACCATAAAAATGAAGAGTTCATTTAATTTTAATCTTTATGAGAAATTAATTGAGATTTGTATGTCTTCAAATGCAAGTAAATCATTAAACATAAGTATTGAAGATGCGCGAGATGTTCGTAAATACTACATAGGTCTGTGTGTAAATTTGAAAATACAAATTACATTTTTACCCACCCCCACCCTCGGGAGGTAGGGGTAGGGGTCGATTTTGGTATCGCTGGATGAGTCCCGTCGATACAAACAACTTTCATTACCCACTTTTCATGATCGGATAAGCACTTCTCGAAATATTCACAAAATCAGTTTTAAATGGAACACTCGTATAACCTTAAGTTAAATTTGTGATTTTTGATGTACCTTTCACAGAAAATGGTAAATTATAAAATGGGGACTGCTCTGATCGGTAGTTTTCCGTGGTTTCTTCTATCAATTCCAGGCGAATGCCAGAGCAGTTCCTTAACAAACGGGGCACGGCCATACACGATCTTTCCTTCTCCTTCTTTGTCCTATCCTCACCCCTTACTTAGGCACACTTCTTTTCCATGCACGACACAAGCACGCATGCCGGAGGATTACAGCTTGCCGCGGCAGGGGTGGTGCCTGGAAGGTGGAAGATACTGGGAAAACGGGTAGCTGGCCGACGGGTAGGTCGGTGCCGGATCTCACCATTCAGCGGGCGAAGATCACTGCCATCTCCCGTGTTAAAAACATGCACCTCACTTAACGGACTAATGACCTTAACAGTTGAAGCGTCCGGAATAACCAATCAATCAATTATCACTTTGACAATTTTTATGTTGTTTAAAAATACTTTATATTTTTTCTAATTGTACTTTTTGGCCAAATTTTGCAGCATTTTTGCCCAATTTTTGTTTTTTTATTTTATTATTGTGCCTTTTTATTATTGTAATTTGATTACTTGAATGGTACAGTTTTCCCTTAAGGAAAAAATATCTATCAGTAATATTGTAGTTTTGTAATGTTAGTTTTTCTTCGTAATTTTTCGAAAATACACATATCGCCGAAAATAGAATCTGCGTCTTTTTTGAAGCATTTAATGCTCTAACAAAGGAAACATCGAAAAAAAAAGTGAGTAGGTTTTCAAAATGTAAAATAATATTGATATTGACTATACTTCACACAATTACTACTCACATTTTCGAAAAATAGTACACAACCTTATTTTAAGATATCTTTGAAAAACAGATATTATTGAGGGGGGAATCTCTATATTCAATATTGCAGTAGTAGGAAGGCACCGAAACAATTTTGAACTCTTTCAATTTCCGAAAATATAGAGATTTTAACGAAAATGATATCTCTGCCCCTTCTTAAGCGTCCTTTGCGCTAACCGCGGGAAAATGTTAATAAAAAAAATTGGAGTAACTTTTGAGAAAAAAATGAAAATGTTGTCGGGGCCTAATTTAAACTACTCTCAAAATATATGTTTCAAACTAGCAAGCCTCGAGTTCGTCCAGATCGATCGGAGAATGTCAATTTTGGAGAAAATCGTCTGAATGTTTTAGGCTCCAGCGTTGACCACAGATAGACTGATAGACGTCTGTCAAAACATTTTGCCCTCAATCTATTTTTCAAACAATCAAGGACCCACAAAACGTAGATTCTGTCTACTCAACTTGTTAAATGAAGTAATTTACTACATATAGGAACACTATTAATCCACTTTTTTGATATCAAGGTCTCAGTCTTAACTATGTTAATACGCAGTAAGACAAAAACTTAAACTTAATAATTTTTTATATAACTTTGTAAATAGCGCAAATGCATCAGCAGTGACCACAGTTAAGAACATTTTCTTAGTATTCATAAAATTCTTGGACCACTGTATTAAATTTCCTAATTGAAACTCGCCAAGGCGCCAAACATCTTTTTGAAAAACTCTCTTGCCTATAAATGGCCAATTTTCAATCTGGTTTATTTTTTATTTCCAAATCCAGATTTTGTTCCAGTAGCGGCTGCTTGAAAATTGGAAAATTTTTGTCGTGGTTGAACCAGTAATGCCTAATCAATATTCTGCCCCCTGAACGAGTTTGAGATTTAAAAAGAAAGTACCACTTCACGTTATTGCAATTTCAATATTAACACTTTTTTAGCTTATTAGTTAAATATAAAATAAGGAAAGAAATGAATTATCTTTGTCCTTACCCTCATCACTAGAAGGCTTAAACTCGATATTTTGCAAATTTGAAGTGAGTGGGAAGTCTCAAATTCTTATTTTGCAAATTGTGTGCTTGGAAGTGGCCAATACAGGCTATCTATTTCACGGGCTTCATACAAAGTATCACCACTTTTTTTAAAAAAATCGTTTCAAATCCATATCACCTTGAGCCTGATCAAGATGAGTTGAGACCTTGGGTTGAGGCTGATAGGAGAATCCCCATTTCAGGTGTCCAATGTAAAGTTTCGAAGTCAGTGTTGTTTACAGACGGGTGAGTGGACGGACAGGCAGGCAAACGACGGATAAGCAGACGTACGGACGGGTAGGCAGACATACTTCTTTAAACAACCGCTTTTTTAGGAATCAAGGACCTCGCAAAACACGTATTTTCAGGAATATCTCGAAATCGTTGTTGTTTTCTTTCCGCACTACAGAACGTTCTCTCATCCTGCCAAGTATACGAAAAGGTGTACGTATACGAATACGTAAAATATTAACAAAACTAGAGATACCAAGTTCAAATTTGACAAATTTGACGTTGAATGACTCACATGCAGTATATGACGGATTTCTAAGGACAGAAACACAATGCGACACTTCACATTCTAATGTTTAAATATAGTAATGAAAACAGTAATGAACGTAAATATGAGGCTGATCTATTGTACAAGGTAGTTTTGCTCGCATAGTTTCATTTTTGGTACGCAGTACACAGATATTATAATCTCTAATATGATTTAAATTGTAGTAAAAAATCTACGTTTACCCACTGCTCACCTGAAAATCAGCCGATTGAGGAATAAGAGCTCCTTCTCTAAACCACTGTATATTTGGTTGCGGTTTTCCAGAAACCTGAGTACGAAACTGTGCTGGATTCCCTTCAGGCACAATAACATCACGCATTGGGGCCAATGAAGGAGTTATTTCCTGAGTACTTGGAGCTGAAAATGAGAGCACAAAGATTATAAGCTTTTCAGATAATTATGAAAAACATATTAGTCATATATTAATCATTTCACTAGAGATTAGTAAACGTTACTAATCAATGGATAATTAGGAGAACTGAAAAAATGTTCTAACAAAAAATATGGCTAATTGAACACGTGTACTACAACACGCAATAAGAAGTAAAGAACATTTGAAGCAAGTTCTGACAAGCGAGTGGGAAAAAATTGAACCAAGCGAAATAAAAACGTTGTTGGATTCATCCCCAAATATTTGCAATGCTATTGAAACTAAAGAATGAGCAACTAGATTTCTGGATGAGCAACTAGGTTTCTGGTGTAATATTTGTTTTGTAATATTTATTTTTAATTTTGTTTATTTGGCCGAATACTTTTGCTGGATCACATTTCTGTGTACTGAAATAAATCTACGCATTTCACATAGAGATATTTTATTTTTAAGACCATGATTGTGAACATGATTTTGTACTATATAATTGTGTAATACAATGCGGTTGTTTTTGTTTTCTACAACGATTTTTGTGTATTTTATCACGCATTCTGCGCACAGGTGAGGATCGGTCGAATACTTAAGCGCACCACTGTATATACAAACTTACCTAATACTTTGAGCTCTGCAGATGTTGTAACTGAGCCTGCTGTATTAGAAGCGACACATTTGTACATTCCTTCATCTTCTGGAAAAGCTTCAGAAATATGTAGTGTGTAAATATCTCCATCTTTTTGCATTTGGAAATATTTTGAAGGTTTTATTGGGGTGTCTCCTTTAAACCACTTAATTTGGGGAACTGCAGACCAATAATAACAGCATATTCAATCTCAAAATCATGGCTCCTATTTGTACCACACATTCCTGACTGGGGCTCTATATTTAATACACAGACAAAAAGACGTTACTAAAATACGCACCTGGCTTTCCAGAAATTTTACATTTAAACGCCACAGCTTGACCCTCTTGAACGGGTTGTCCTTTCATGGGTTCAAGAAGAGTGGGGGCTTGGTCTGATCCTGTCGGGGCTGCTTTCCCTTGAGAAGTGGGCTTGGACGATGGAGTTTGAACAAAACACTCAGCATCACAGCGAGCCTCTCCAGCGCCGTTAATTGCGACACATTCGTATTTCCCCGAATCCTCGGGTAGAGATTCAAGAATCAATAGAGTGAAGGTGTTATCTTCCTCAAGCGATTTATGTCGAATATCTGGTAAAATCTTTTTACCATTCTGTAAAATTCAAAGATTAACATTATTGATTGTTATAAATTAAATATTACATTTCTACTAGTTCACTGTGGTTATGACAATCTTAACACGTACCTTCAGCCAGTAAACATCCAAAGGCTTTGTGCCTGTTATACGGGCATCAAACCTAGCAAGCTGACCAGCAACGACCACTGTGTTTTGTATTGTAGTCAAAAAGCTTGGTGGAATGACACCACCTCTGCCTTGTCGACGACGCTCTTCGACAACCAGATTTGCGCTGCACTTTGCAGTACCTCCTCTGTTTTCAGCAATTACTGAGAAAACTCCAGAGTCTTCCATAAACACTTGACGCAGTATTAAAACAGACTTGGTGCTGAAGGTGTGAACCTGTAGATCTGCAGATGATACAATGGGAAAATTTTCACGGTACCACTTAACGGTAGGAAGTGGATCTCCATCAAACTCCACTTCAAATCTGGCTTGATCCTGCTCGAAAGCACGGCATGGCTGTATTTTCTTGGTGAAAAATGGAGGCTTGGCAGGTTTCTGTAAAAAAGATGAAAAACAATTAATATGAAAAAAAAAGAAAATTCCATTGTATCTCAATTTCTTGAAACTAACTTGAAAGAAAATAAAGTTATCGAAAATGTCAATTTATAGAAGTTTGAATTGACGAGAGTTTTTTAGCAGAAGATGGAGATTGGAAAGTCAGCAGCGTCTGACAAAAACACTTTCTGCCTTGCGCTTCTAGTTAGAAATGTTCACAATTAACACAAACGTATACGAACATTGGAAAGTAACATACTTTCAATGTCCTCGCAAAGAAATGACTGTTGCACAAAAGTGACTGGTTTGAACATTTTTTAAATATTAATACATATAAATGTACCGTGTATATCGGAATGATTTGTTTGATAACGACTGGGCGAGAAACAACGTTCGTACAATACAAGGGTACTCATATCTCGCGAAGTTGCTATAGAGAACGTACGAGTTCAGAGCTCGGCATTGCGTAGCCTCCATCAATTGCAAAGGGGGTTAACAGCAACAGTATCTTGTGCCGACGTACAAATTATTGTGCAATATATTCTGTTCAGTGTTTCTTTTAGGATAAGTTTCTGCCTCTACAGAAATACTATGAACAGGCAGTGTCGCAACTCCATTAAATCGACAACAGAGAAACCCAGATTCGAAACGAGAACGAGAAAAGATACATCACTTAATGAAAACAATGTCACCTTACTAACTGATCATGAACAATTACTGCAGCAGCAAATCGATATTCAACAGCTACAACAAAAAACCAAGGACATCACCTTCAGGAACAACCACAACAGGAACTGCTACTGGCTGCAACAATTGTAGAGCAGCACGATCTCTATACGTAGTCAGAATATACGTATCTGCAAATCTACAGATTCCTACAAGTAGTTCTAACACACCAGTTCATTCTACGAATAACAAAAAACTAAAGATTCAAGAATTGAATTCCTTTAAGAGGTCACACTAATTGTGTATCAAACTTTCCTATCTTCTCATATCCCCAAACTTCCATAGGGACACAGAGAGTCCTCCAGGAAACGGATACTTAGATGATAATGATGAGAATAATAGTATGAAATAAATTTCCTCACCACCTTGAAGATACAGAAATTTCAGTGCATAACTCAACTAAGCCCCCGTTTGAAGAAGAAAAGGCAGACGAACCAGAAGAAAAGGAATCAATGCTTGTGACATACCAGAGATCATGGTATATGCACTCTCAGAGGACGAACAAACGTAAAAGCCCATTTTACAGTGTACTTATTGTACAGAAAATGGATAGAAAAAAGGTCCGTTTGTTTCTAAGCGGCACTGTTTCGGTATCGGAACTCGATGGAACAGAACCAGCGTTTTACATAGTTATTTCGTTTTCTGAAGATAATCGCGATGAAAATATTTCCTCCGGATTCTGCAAAAAGCGCTTAAGATCCAACAGTTGAACAGCACATCTGTGTGATTAGTAACGAATTTGATTGGGACTAAGCACGGAACGAGACGTCTTTAGAATGTAATAGAATTGACAACTGTTTCTATTTTCACAACAGCAAATATGAATGCTCTCAAAACTGTACAGAAGGAACAAATCGCCCTACACGTAATAGTAACCAAGAAAAAATTCCGAACGTGGGAGTCCAAATGGCCAATATCGTTAGCCGTCGTCGTTAGTCGAATTCGTTTACTACGATACGTGAAGTCGCTGAGGTTAAGCGAATTCGGGATTCGCGGGTTTCTGGTTGGGTGACCGGCCAGGAACTCCGGGATCTACCGACGTCTAGCCCCTGACCGAAGGGATAAAAGGCATTGAGTGTGACGTGAAGAGACTTAACAAAGAAATTAAAGAAGGTTTAATCTACGCAAAGCGCTCAACGCCCACAAGGATTTCAGAGAAACGTTGCGTCAAGGACGCAACAATTTAAAAAAAACGCATGTAACCAGAACATAAAAATTACCATTGTTTCATTTTCTGTCCAAATTATTTCCGGTTTTGGGCATTTTCTGTACGAAAAAGGTATAAAGGTATATTACTGTATAAAACGGGCTTAAGAGAAAGAATAAACCGGCTTACGCCGCAAAAAGAAGGGAAGTAAAGTAAGAGAAAAGTACCAGTACTTACGATAACGATAATGATAATGATACATATGAAAAACTGGGGGTTATTTACTAACCTAGCATCGCCATCTAAAACGGGGATTTGGAAGAAACAAATGGCGATATGCATAGTACTGTGGACATTATCACTGAGGCAATTAGACACTTGCCCACGACTCTGTTGGCCCCCACCACAGAACATTCGTCTGGAGAGGTACTCCAGCTCCGACACAATATTAGCAGCTTAGAATCTCATTTGTCAAACTATCTTCTTATGTGGGCGCTACAACCCAAGGTGGGTTTTGGCCTGCTCAACCACTTTCTGCTACCTCATGCCACTTTGTCGAACTATACCATCACAAAAATAAGACAATAACTAAAGTCATCAATACATTAAATAAATTGTCAACAATACAATATATTAACAGCTATACAAAACATACACCTCCTCAACCGTACGGTATCGCCAGAACGACAAGATCAGTATCAATCAACGCCAATTTTACCAGTACCAATTGAAACGTTCAAACGGACTGAGTAGAAGGGCTATAGATGAAAATTTTGGAATAACAATAAAGATGCTAGAGCTGAACTTAGGAAAACGTTCATGTGCACCAGGAAGAGCAAAGCTCCCCGACAAGACGGCAAAAGAATCATGGTCGTAGAGAAGAACTACAAGTATCACGGCTTTCGGCAGATCGCGTATATATGACATTAACAAGTGAAGTGCTTTGCCTCGTCGAAATGTAATCAACGTGTGCGTTAAATTCTTCTCTCTCTCTCTCTCTCTCTCTCTCACACACACACACACACGTCTGCACATCTGTGAAAATCCTATTTAGATCAAGAACGCTGCTGGAATAATTGACTGGGAGCAAGCGAAATGCACTCCACACGCGCAGTGACTATTGACAGACTCTCTCTCCCCGCAGATCTGGAGGTCGTGGGATTCAGCAGACAAAAGAGATAGTTGACGGGCGGACACAGACAACAGATATATACGATCTGGACTTAAAATCCGAGAACAAGGACCTAAGAAACAAGACGACTCAAAATAAAGTAATACCCTAAGAGGTGGCTCAGGGCATCAACTGATGTCACTGCAGTGCCTCTGGCCGGGAGATCCTAGGTTCGAGTCCCCACGGTGGAAGGATTTTCGACTCTAGCTTGTCATCTAGGTTGAATTCAGTTGCTGTCTGGAGGAGAATTCTAGCGGCCGGCTGCTCTGATCGATAGTTTTCCGTGGTTTCTCCGATCAAAATCAGGCGAATACCGGAGAAGTGCTCTAACACGTGTGCTTCAGACCGCTCACGATCTTTCTTCCTCATCATTTTCACGATCTTTTATTCCTCACCCCTTACAAACACACTAACATGCACTACGCGCCCGGAATCACTAACAATCAATCAAAACAAAGATAAGATTATTCAGCACGGAAAGTGCACCCTGTACAATCAAGAAGAAAAGTCAAGTTCGTTTATTGGGAACAGCCCACATTATGCGCGAAGTATTGTAGAGTCACCGACTGTCCCTAGATCTGCATCTTAGGAAGCTGCTTGCAACCCGGAGTAGATTTTATATTCTACCGACTCATAACATCTTTAGTCGTAATTTAGAGTAATCATACTAATGATTATGTTTTTATTATTACTTTCATTAATACCGTTATTGTAACGTAATACTGGTATATTGACTTACCACTTGCCCTTGTACAACACGTTCTTGGGTCTTAGCCTTATGTTCCATTTCAGTGGTCTCTGTAGCTGTTATCTTCCGTGTTATCTCAAGGTCTCCTCGAACCTAGAATGTTAACAAAGATTAATAAATATCTGTAGAGAGAAAGCGTATTTTTTTATCAGAGTCAACATTTTTCCCAGTTCTATAGGAATTTTTACGTTTTGGTGAATAAATTGTGGGATGCATGCGTCCAATTGGCGCGGTGCCTAGACCAGGTGCAAATGAACGGTCCAATCGGCGGAACCAAGGAGGGAACCAAGGCCAGGAAGGGCAGGAAAGCGAGGAAAGCCAAGGAAGCGGTCAACAGCATGGACTAGATGCGGGTACCATTGCTGGTTGAAGTAACTAATGCTTTAAACAAATATGCTAGGCCTCCGCTATCGATTTCTTCTGTCTTAAAGATAGAACTCATTGCAAAAATCTCTATCTTCAATTTTGTACTTTTGAAATATAAACTTTTTACAATTTTCGAAAATACAACGAATTTGCCTGAAATCAAACTAGCACCAGTTCTTTTACCGTCCTCTGATACATACAGAGAAAAAAATTAAAGAAAAAAATTAGGACCATTTCTGAAGGAAAAATTTTATTTTTTAAATTTAAACATTGCCTATATTTCACACAAAATTCCTCAAAAACTATTTATTTTTTCGAAAAATTGTACATGGCCTCATTTCTGTCAATCTTTTAAGAACAGATTTCAAAAATCATCTTGAATATTATAGATGAAGAAAGACGACGACTTTCTCCTGGGTAGTACAAAGGACACTAAATATTTCCCTCTATTCGCTTGGGGAGTGAAATCGCTAAAATCCTAAAGTTTGAATGTAGGCCTACTAATTAATGTAGTATTATTTCGTATTTTAACCACATCACAGGATTGTGAAAATATAAAGAAAAAACAATCTTTGTAGCTGTGTTTGCTATTGTTTGGTCTTGTTTTGTTTCCTGAAAGCATTATTACATACTAAAGTGTGTGAAAGAAAACCAGTTTTATTTTCTATCTAGTAAAAGATATTAAGCAGACAAGTTTAACAGAATCACCCTCAACTTGATTTATCTCAAACCATGGGTTTAGGACTTGGCCACTTTCACTTGTTTACTGACAATTTATTCAGTAATTGCCATGGGAAACATTTAATACCATACCCAAAAAAGTATAAAAGAAATTTCTAAATTATAGAAGTGCCTCTACAGTACAATTGATATACTGTAGAAATGCCATTGTATATGACATTCTCCCAACTTCTTTTGTAATGATATAAAACATATTCAACAAACCTCTTTTTGTGTTTGCTTCTGCTTTGCCACATGAACTTCACGGCCATGGACAGCTGATTCTGCTGGTTCAGGAATAACAGTTCCCTTCACATGTTGAGAATCAATAACAGTATCTGATGTGTGAGAAGAAATTTGTGACAAACCTCCGGTTTGCACTCCAGTATTTTCACTTCTTTCACTGAACAAAATAAAGAACATTTACTTTGAGTGCATACATACATTTCAGAGATTAGGATGAGTAAGAAACTAAAGTTTAAAAAATGTCAATATTCTCAAAATTATACTTCTTAAAAAGGAAGGAAAACATACACTTTCTCTTCGTAACTTTGAGCCATTCCTTTTGCTAAACTCTTATGTACAACTTTTTCACCAGGTATAGCAAACTGATGAGATGATTCACGAAGACGTGTTTCTTTGACAACTTGTTCATCTTCCAGCTGAAAAATGTGTTTTTATAATTATCCAGGTCAAATTTATGGGTATATATTGACAAAAAGGAAATGAGTAATCAATCACAATAAAATCCCCCCCAAAACTAGTCTGAGAGGTCAATTCAATTTTATTTCTTACCTCCTTGAGTTTGCTATAATAGTCTTCTCCCTTTTTCTTCTTCACAGATTGTTGCCACTCTGTTTCAGGTTCCTTAATGATTTTTTGCTTCAAATGATGTTCACTCAGCTCTATCTGTTGACCTTGCCTCTCTTCAAACACTCTCTCCAGTTCTGTTTCCTGTCGTTCTCTCTGGTATTGTGTAAGTTCGTAGTCATACCATGCTGTATCCAGAAATAAGTATTACCACAGCTCAAAATTAAAACCACCATGTGAACCAAAGAAGACTGTATGCTTTCATCCAAATTAACAGTCAAAATACAGTTAAAATAATTTAAGATACTTCAACGGTTACTTAAATACTGTTTTATTAACAGTATCAGATTAGAATACGCATTGCAACTCTGAAACTTCAGTGCAATTTTTTCTGAAAACCAAAAAACAAAACAAAACAAAAAAAACCAGACATTCATACATCAGACAAGGAAATACAAAGACTATAATACTGAGATCCAGGTATGGAATATAAAAGGATGCAATAAACTGGAAGTTGGTGCTATGTATGAATGGCAACATTTCAATGCTATAAAAGTTTTGTTTCTTTTAGGTCTTTAGATCGTTGATAATACAGAACATTAAATATACATTTAAGTTACAAAAATTAATACTTTTATTGTTTATTTTGTTAAGAGCATGCATTGACATTAGTAATCATGCCTGGTTTAAGAGCATGAAAATTTCTTCATACACTCTGATTAATACAGGAAATGTGGATGACAGTATTTAAAAGAAAGATAACATACTTTCAATGTAAAAAATTGTATGTTTTAAAAATAAAATACAACTGCCAAAGTTTAAAAATATAGAGAAATATATATTCTATTTCCATGAAATATGGTGAAACATAATTGATTTAGAATTTTCCTTATAATTTTGTTTCTATAATTGCATTTTCTTTTTATTTAGAGGAGAGAAAGAGGTGGAGCGAGGATTTTAAAAGTATTCAAAACCAAAATAAAAACCAACACAACGTAAAAACATTATCAAAATCATCCATACCTGATTATTCCCTGCTTGGGAGCATGAAGACATAAAAGAAGGCGTCACTTTGACCTGTTAGAAGATCCTCATCCGCAGAGCAAAGGCAGTCAACCACCACCACGTACCAGAAAAGCGAAGCAGGTGGAAGGAAGGAGGGGAAGGTCATATGTGTTTGTGCAAGCTGTGTAATGTGCATGTTAGTATAATGCAATAATGCATTCTATTAACTTTTTTCTAATAAATGTTCTAGAAGTTAATCTCACTTCAAAAATTGTTAAGAACATTATTTTACTTTACAAAAAAACTCTCATTTAAAAAATGAATTAATAGAATGCATAGGTTCTTTAAAATGTGTGGTCAAGAAAAGCTGTGTAAATTGGCTTGGGTAATACATGTGAGTTGATGTGATTAGATCTGCATTTATGTCGTTTTAATAAAATGAATTTTCAGTATAGCATGTCTCATGTATCATGTTTAGTATTAATATTGTAAAACATGAAGAAAAAATTTGTACACTGTAACATAATCCTTCAAACCTGAAATGCTAAATGTATATATTTCAGCAAAAACTGAAAGAAAGTCAAGACATTTTGGGCTCCAGTATACAATTTTGCTTAGAATACAGAGCAGATTGTTGAGCAAGTTTATGTCATTGCATTATGGCAAAAATTGCAGCGATGCTTATTTTGCATCTATCTGCAATAATGATATTGTACTAGACAGTATTATGATCTGTCTGTTTCTAAGACTTAATTGTAAGTTGTGCTCCAAATATTGCTGTAAAAAATCTTTTTATGTACATACTGAAACAATGGTTTCTTGACTTACGTCTCGGAGAGTTCTTCAAAACATTTCTGTAGTCATCTTGACGTTGTTTTACTACAAGATCTGCTACTGCTATTGCTTCTCCTGCAGAATTACGAGCTATCACTTCCACTTTACCATTATCATATTGTCTGGTCTTTGGAATGTCCAAATGCCACATGCCATCATAAGTCAGCTTATAGCGAGTACCCTGAAAGATGAAGGTATATTTCATTCAAGTCAGCTCCACAACTATGGCCATCTCTTACTATTACTGAATGATATTTTAAGTAGTTGGATAAATTTATTGATATAAACAAAAAAATAGTATTTCCTTATGTTCACGAACACAATGAAATTTATTTCTTCCAAATTCAAAGTTAAAAACTCACCATATTTCTGTGAAAAATAAAAGAAATTGAAAAACTATAATACTTACATTTACAACAGTGTGGCCATTAACTACCCACATGACACGAGGTCTTGGGAAACCAGTAACACGACAACAGTAACGAGCTGGTTCTCCTTCCACTGCAGTATATGTTTCTGGTTTTGTTACAAAAACTGGAGCAGATTTTGGCTTTTCACTCTCATCTGGCTCCTCAGGTACACTGAAACAATAGTAACATTGCTATAACAAATAACAAAGGAATAACATAAAATAAATGATGAATGTGAAGAACAATAGAACAAAAGTGAAAAATAAAAATACCATAAATTTTGTTATTGTGAAAAAATAAAAATAAAAAAGACCAAGGCCCAGTTGCATCATTTTTCTAATATTATTGGAAGATAATTAGAAAATAGAACTAACAAATTATCAGCACTTATAATTTCTGTTGGATAATGGTACAGAATTTCTTATAATACTAGACACCAATAATACTTATTGCATGACAAATAGTTGATTTATTGACACCACGCATGTCAGCAAAACTGGCTTCCACTACTTGTATCTAACCATTGCAATGTTGCACAAAACTGTTCTTAGGCATTGATATGAAAAGCAATATTATTAACAGACTATTCAAATTGAATATTTTTCCTTCAAATTCCCTACAGGTTCAGTAACAAACAAAATTTTAAAATGTGAGCATTAAAAACCGAAGTTTTGCTTACTTTCTCCACTGAACAAGTGATAATTTCCAAACCATACATACAAATTTGTAAAACACTCATTTTCAGAAATACATAATAAATACATACATTTGCCATGCTGCTTCCATTTCTCTAATTCTTTCAATACTCTTCATTCCCTTCGGTAGTTGAGATTCATATATTATTCCAGGCTTCCCAGCAGTCTTTATAACCGCACGAGTCTCATCCATTCCGTATAAGTTGGTGGCTCTGCATAAATACTCTCCACTATCTTCTGGATACACCCATCCAAAGTTCATGGCAACGTATCCAAAATCGTAAATTGGAGTAAACCTATTTTCTGCAAAGTGACAAGAATAATTTTGTTTCTATTAGAAATACTAGAGCACATGCCTTTGAACACCACATGCATCGTAAATTGGCAGTGGCTACTTCATTCATGGTAATAATGAAAGTCAACATTAACTAATGCATGGTGAACAACATAACTAAAACAGAAAAAATAATTAAAATATTCACTAGTGGATAAGGAGACTATTTAGTACACACACCATTAAATGAGTGATAAAAAGTTTTTCTAGCAAGTTCGTACTCAAAACAATAAATGACTAGCAACAAGCACTGGACAAATTGCTTCATTGTCTTGCATACAATACGATCCATGAACAACAATATTTTCTTCATCTTTCATCCCTTGTAGAATGTTCCACCAGATAATTACTGATAACTAAATTAATATATTTCTGTTTGTAAGTGAATTCTAAAATAATATTAAATAAAATAATAAATTAACTGATTTTGAGATATGTTTGTTGAAGATATTCTTTTCAAATGAAAGAATTTTAAGTATCAGGATTTTACAAAACAAAATCTACAAAATGTGCAAAATTGAGTTACACATGCCATTGTAAAGTTTAGAATGAAAAAAACAAATTAATTAATCAGAAATTAAGTAATAAATTCAACATTTACCTATGCAATTTATTTATTTATTTACTTTCTGACATGTGAACGTTCCTCACACACTCTTAAACACTCTAATTAAAATTGGCATGTTTTTAGATGTTATATTTATATATTTTGAATAGGTTTTACTGATATTGTAAGTGTAATTTGAAAATCATTTTATTTAATTTTATGAACTTAATTACATTCAGAACACAATGTTTAGTAAAGAAACTCAAAATTATAAATGTGTAGTGTTTGCCTCAACTATTTTTAATTATCATAAAACTGTTCTGTGTTCATTACACATAGATTTTTCTCATATATGCCATTTCTTGTTGCTTTTTTGCTCTGGGGCAAACACACATCTCTATCACATCAATTGGCACTTTTATTCATCATTATGTCACTAAATGAGTTAGCTCAATGAATCTTCAGCAAATGCTACTAATAAAAGTGGAGCAGGATGCAAGAGAGTAGCAAACTTTTTGAAAAGAACAACCAAAAACTTTATATTGGGGTTTCAAAAACAACAGTATCTATGTGTTGGGCTAAAGTTTACACTTTGTGTTACATTATAATTAGTGTGATTAAAGTTAAGTCTCATTTACACATTTTTTTGTATTTGTTTTAAGGTCGTAAGTCAGTAAAATCTGAGTTTAGTCTTATTTAATTTTGGTATTACTTTCTCTTTAAGACATAAACCATACTTACTGTGAGGCAATGGTTTGCCATTCAGAAACCATTCAACCTTCATATTTGGATCACCTACTGGAGCTAATTGACATTCAAATTTTGTTGACTGCATCTCTTCTAATGTTGTTTGGTCTTTGATCTGGGTTACAAATCTGAAAATAAGTTTTTTGTAAATGACAATTCTTGTTTTTGTAAATGACCAGAATGAAAACAAATTGTGTACTTAGAAATATCCCTAGAATATTATCTTTTTAAGAGGTAAAAAGTGCAATGGCATTTGACTGTTTAATAGGAGGGAATAAGTAGCATAGTTTACTGCATAACTCCTGTCATATTTTCAAGTTATTGCTGCTCAATCTAATCTTTACAAAGGCAGCTGCAGGGTTTTACAGCTCCTTGTTTTTCAATCACTTTGACAGAGGAAGATGAATACTATGTTTTCGTTAATGTTTGCACCCCTGTCTCTACAAACTGGCATTTTTTAAACTTTGCAAGCAACAAATGATCAGTTGTCATTATCTTTATTTATTTTTTTGAATGTCATAATTAAAAATGTGACTAGTGAGCAATCAATTGAGAGTGTTCAACGGAGTAGGACCATTAAGTTTCCTTGCTCATAACAAGATTCTCTAACCACACTGATGTCAAATGTGTAGTAAACCTCGTTTCCGTCCAAGCATGTAGTAATCTTCCATTATCTCGTCAGCTGTAGTCATTTATTGCCTTTTATGCTATTGACCATGGTAATTTTTCCATTACTTATTTACTCAAAAATTTCTTCAAATTATGTACTATTTAGTGTTTCATTTTGATTACATTTTTTTAAACTTCCTTTACATTGGGAACTATGCCGCTGTAAAATCCTGATGTCATACCATTCTGCTACAGTAGAAGCCTACTGGATTTGGTTACCAAAGCTGCAGACTTGTGTCATTTATATACAGTTAGCAATTTGTGAAATACAAAATACTAAATTGCAGCAGTATGACTATTTGATAACATTTGTTTTTTATGACTCAACCTTTTTCAATTAACTTTCAATAATTGAAAGCACAAAATCAATTGGTTAAAATTCAAATCAAATTAACTTGAGAAATTAAGTGTAATTTAGCTGCATATAAGTAAAAGCTTACCTTGGAGGCTGCTTTTTATCAGGGTCATAAAGGTCATCCTCAGTTAAATGTATCTCAGAAGTGTATTTCTTGATTGTAGCTTCCATCTGCATAAGTGCTTCTGACTTCTTCATGCCCTTAGGAACTTGATTTTGCAAAATTATTGTAGGTAATTCTAAAATAAAATTAGAAGAATAAAAACTATAAATATCTCATAATAATAACAACAATAATATTACAGAATCATGAAGTGGATAGGCAAAACATGGCCTGAAATATCATTTTTAGTCAAGACTTCTTCTAATTCAACAAATTCCTTTAAAGTTTAATGAAGAAAACTCTGAATTGAACAAAAATACCAAAGAACAAATGAGGTAATAAGGAAAAAGGTGACTGAAAAGTCAAAAAGAGGAAATCCAAGCACAGGCTCAAGAGGGTAGATGTTAAGTGTGGTGATAAAAATTCAATGAAACTTCCAATAAATGAGATTGATTAAACTGCAACTTTTTCAATGAAATACCTGCTGGCACATAGAAATAGGTTGGTCAGAATTCCTGTTTGTTCTCAGGTCATTTAAGATTGTGTCATGATTTCTACCGATATTTCAATATTTACCAACCCCTATATATGAATATTTTATCAATTTTTTTTCCTGTGGTTTGAACTTAATACTTTCATAATCAAACCTTTTGATTATGAAAGTATCCAAAATTTGATTACAAAATCATTATAATTGTAAGGATTAACTTACTTTTGCAAGATATTGTAGCTCGTGTAGTATCTTCACCCAGATCATTTACAGCACGACATACATATTCTCCAGAATCTTCAGGGTATGTATACAAAATATCCAATGATACAAAGCCTAGATCATACATGGTGCGGAATCGATGTCCAGAAGGTAACAACTTGCCATTTCTGTACCATTCAATTCTCAATTTGGGATCGGTTTTTGGCTCCACTCTGCATTCAAAGTGCACTGGTTCTCCTTCACCAATTCCAACAGATGTAATCTAGTGAAGAAAGACACTACTCATGACCTCTGTCAATGAAAATTCAATGTCTCATAAAAATGTATACAAATGAATATTACTTGTGTAATGAACTTTGGAGGAGACAATGGAGCATCTTCAGGGAATGCCTTAGTCACAGGTCCACGTTCAAGCTCTTTAAGTTTTGCTCCACTCATTCCTTGAGGAAGTTGAGATTCCAACACTACATCATGCTTAGCTGAAATATACAATATTATTGCTTAAAAAACTGGATTCATTTTCTTCATTGAAAAGGAAACTATACAAACATCAACTATAGCAATTAGATCAATTATTACATTATACTTTATGATTATTGTCTGAATGTGTCCAGAATGTTCTCATGTGTATCACTTGCAAATACAAAAATGATCATGGCTCAGAAACATTTTTCACACATATATGGACATGTGTCTGACACTGAGACAAATTAGGTTCTCCTTCACATACATGTAGAAAGAGCATCTCTCATAAAAATGTCTTTTTACCAATACAGTGTGAACCAGTACTTTAAAATGGTAGATTTTCATAACTTTCAACAAGGATTGATTGAATATGAGTAAGTGAAACACCAAGGAAACACAAGATAGAAACTTTCAAAAAATACTGAGACAATAGTAAATAGTTATGATATTGAGATCATTATTCACATCTTAGAAATAATAAATTCAAAATGAAATTACTACATAGTATAATACCGAATAAAATGTATAAGAAATTTCTAAATATTAATTTAAAATCATTTTTTAGTTACTTTAAATAATTTTATGGTACATTATAAAATGTGAATAAATATTCTTGAATTTTATTATAGCAAATTAAAAAGGAATAATTCAAATTTGGAAAATAAAATAAAAAAAACTCATGACTTACCCTTGCATGTCAATGTAGCTTTGGTGGTAGCAGAACCCCACTTATTAGTAGCCCGACATACATATTCACCAGAGTCACGAGCGTAAGTGTAATCCATATCCAAAACAATGAAACCAAAATCATTAAGCATATGAACTCTGGAACCAGTGGCAAATGGACGGCCATTGTGAAACCAATCAATTCGCATGCTAGAGTCACCAACTGGCTCTACACGGCATTCAAAGTGAATTGGAGCACCTTCAGCTACATCAGAAATATCCTGGGGAAAAAAAAAAAAAATTAGAATTCATAGCAAAAATCAATATATATTTCCAAACTGAATATCCCAATAACTCCATAAAATCCTTATAAATCCAAACTGAAGATCGTCATAATATTATAATTACATCATATATACAGGATGATTCAGACCTCGTTGCTCATACGGGACCTAGTGATAGAGTACACCAAGTTATTCGTAAGTGCAAAAGGAAATAGTGTAAACCATATTCAAAATTTTGAAAGAAAGATTTTTTGTTATCGGTCATATTTTACAAAAAATGTATCCTAAATATTACATTAAATATTGTTCCCTGTTGCTATTATTGCCTACTTATCTAATGAATATGAAAGGAGAGGGAAAGAACTATTATTTGTGTCATTTAGGATAGTTTATTATACTTGCTATCCAGCCAAAAATTTTTATTTTCACCTGGAGTAACAGGGACTCTACATGTGTTGAAAATGGCCTCCTCTTGCGTGAACGCAAGATAAGCATCTGTGCCGTACGGCCTTTGTGATACGCACAACTATGCCGGGTTGATCCTTAATTTCTGCCGCCACACTTCCAATGCGCCGAAGAAGGTCATCACGATCTTCGATTTCGATAGCATAAACGCGGTCTTTCATTAACCCCCAGCTCTAAAAGCGTATGAAGTACCTGAGTCATAAAATTCAAGAAACTAAACGGCCTCTTCATCGCTCGTGTAAGAAATAAGGACCCATGATCAATTCATCCACAATGCCAACCGACACATACAGAAAATCTCTACACTACGAGCAACATGCGTATTTTCCTTGGTCTTTACATGCAAATTGTGCACATTAATTCTGCCAGTTTTTATAAAACACGCTTCATCTGACCAAAGAACGAAATTCCTGGTGTCCTTTGCAGGAAATGCCTAGACGTTATAAGTGTCTACAGCGCAAATGCTGCGCCCGCTGGAAATGAGTAAGTCGTAATATTTCCGCATGAATCGTTCGCCGTACGAAGAAATGTGATGCCTTGACCTCGGACACTATTTGTTTCGTGCTCATTTCCGGGGCTTCTCGGATAGTATTGGCAATTGAGCTTTCCAGAGAACTGGCGGGCCCTAACGGCCGAAGCAGTGAAGCCGCTTGCTTACTTGCCCTAGCCCGTGTTACACGACGACAAGCTCATAGTCCACATTTTAACGTTAATTATTTACAAACCTAAACGACGAAGAATATCCAATTTTGGCAAATTTAGTCTGTACATTACATGCGGGATACGGTCCCGGCATATTAGCAACGAGGACTGAATTCCTGTTGTCCTGTATTCAGTTTAATTACCTATATATTTTATTATTTTAATTAAATTATTTAATTCCAAAATGGCTTTTGAATTGGTCACAGGACATGAGGAAATCAAAATTAAATAAAGACAATGAAAACATTTCTGCAAATAATTTTGTAGTATGTACTGAAATAAAGGAGACTCAAAATACTTGTTACTAACTTCTAGGGCGTATAAGGGGGTCAAAGTTCTCTTTCTGCTAATAATTATGTGATGGGAAATCTCACAAAATGATCGTATACGTGTGATGCTTGCCCCTGTTTGATATGCAATTCATTTGACACCAATGTTTGACGGTACGTGTTCTGCCGCAGCCATGGACCTGCTTGTAATATTTATTCTGAGTTCATATATATATATATATATA